GCTTTGCCAAAGCCTGTTCACGTAGTAGGACCACTTCGCATGGGCGCACATCTGATAACGCGTAAGAAGAAGTCCCATGGACCGCTGGCAACCCCGGTCCTCCACGAACACCACAGTCCAATGATAGTTGCGTCACTCAATGAGGATGTCCAAGACACCCCTCTCCCCCTCCCCCACCCCCACCCCAGACAGAGATGCATCACCAGAGGGTGAAGTTAAACAAATGAGAAACTGAAATTGACCTTTCTACTATGAGCGGCTGATTTTGTTAGAGCGACTCGGTCAAGTAATGAATATTGGTCTGCTCGGGCTCATAAAATCCTCGTGATGGGCACAAATAGAGGTCAAATTTGTAACAATTAAACGGTAAGTGGGCAGGAGATTGCCGCTCCTCTACTGCAGATGTACGATGAGATAGGACATCCTTCCCTAGTGTTAACAAATGTCCTCACACTGCTTCTGTCTGTATCGAGGTGGAGTTTCTGCTCTTTTAAATGATGTTTGCTATTGATCGCCGTCCTGTAGGAAGATGTAGCTGTGGAGTGTGTGCTGTATATACTGAAAGACCTAGGAGCATATTCCACTAAAAACTTCATTGAATTTTTCAAACGTACATGCGTTCTGTGTTGAGTTTGAAATTAGGCTCAGATTGAAGAATCACGCCGTATATCCAGGCAAAGCCACATTGGAAAGTTGAAATCACGATAAAGGCCTCCCGAGCTCAATAAAACAATCGATTCTGGAACCAGAAGGTAGAACATCACCGTGTTGGCTTTCCTCCGATGTCTCAGTTTCATCTGCAGATTTTGTCCGTGTTAAGGCGATGTACAGAATATGTCAGTGTTACGGGCGATGTACAGAATATGTTGGTATTACTGACGATCTACAAAATATGTCAATGTTACGGGCGATGTACAGAATATGTCCTAGTTAAGGGGATGTACAGAATATGTTGGTATTACTGACGATCTAAAAAAATATGTCAATGTTACGGGCGATGTACAGAATATGTCCGTGTTACGGGCGATGTACAGAATATGTCAATGTTATGGGGATGTACAGAATATGTTAGTGTTACGGATGATGTACAGAATATGTCAATGTTACGGGCGATGTACAGAATATGCCAGTGTTACGGGCGATGTACAGAATATGTCAATGTTACGGATGATGTACAGAATATGTTAGTGTTACGGATGATGTACAGAATATGTCAGTGTTACGGGCGATGTACAGAATATGTCAATGTTACGGGCGATGTACAGAATATGTCCGTGTTACGGGCGATGTACAGAATATGTCAGTGTCACGGGCGATGTACAGAATATGTCAGTGTTACGGGCGAAGTACAGAATATGTTGGTATTACTGTCGATCTACAAAATATGTCAATGTTACGGGCGATGTACAGAATATACCAGTATTACGGGCGATGTTCAGAATATGCCAGTGCTACGTGCGATGTACAGAATATGTCAGTGTTACGGGCGATGTACAGAATATGTCAGTGTTACGTGCGATGTACAGAATATGTTAGTGCTACGTGCGATGTACAGAATATGTTAGTGTTACGGATGATGTACAGAATATGTCAGTGTTACGGGCGATGTACAGAATATGTCAGTGTTACGTGCGATGTACAGAATATGTCAGTGTTACGGGCGATGTACAGAATATGTCAATGTCACGGGCGAAGTACAGAATATGTCAGTGTTACGGGCGATGTACAGAATATGTCAGTGTTACGGGCGATGTACAGAATATGTCAGTGTCACGGGCGAAGTACAGAATATGTCAGTGTTACGGGCGATGTACAGAATATGTCAATGTTACGGGCGAAGTACAGAATATGTCAATGTTACGGGCGATGTACAGAATATGTCAGTGTTACGGGCGATGTACAGAATATGTCAGTGTTACGGGCGATGTACAGAATATGTCAATGTTACGGGCGATGTACAGAATATGTCAATGTTAGGGGCGATGCAGTTTTCCGATTCTTCCAGTGGCTCGGCGACCAAGGTTATTGAAGTGTGGGTAAAATATTCAGAAACGGTTAATGTTAGATCCGGGTTAGGGTTAATGTGTAGGTAACGTGGCTGTGATCAACGTCTACTACAACTACTGCTACAAATATTAGCTCTGCAACGACCGCTATCACTGCTTCTTATACAGCTACTACTACTACGACTATCATTACTGCTAATACTACTTCTACTACTACTACTACTACCACCACTACCACTACCACTACCACTACCACTACTACCATTACTTCTACTTCTACTACTTCTCCCACTACTGCCACTACTACTACTACTACTACTACTACTACTTCTACTACTACTACTACTACTACTACTTCTACTACTACTACTACTACTACTACTATCACTACCACTACTATTACGTCCACTTGTTGAGCGATCCCCGTTTGTTACGAAGAGCTATGTTTAAAGGTTAACGTCTGCAGTTGGTAGCGAGGAGGTGGGTGACTGCCGCGATGTCGACACTGAGCGATCCCCGTTTGTTACGAAGAGCTATGTTTAAAGGTTAACGTCTGCAGTTGGTAGCGAGGAGGTGGGTGACTGCCGCGATGCCGACACTGAGCGATCCCCGTTTGTTACGAAGAGCTATGTTTAAAGGTTAACGTCTGCAGTTGGTAGCGAGGAGGTGGGTGACTGCCGCGATGCCGACACTGAGCGATCCCCGTTTGTTACGAAGAGCTATGTTTAAAGGTTAACGTCTGCAGTTGGTAGCGAGGAGGTGGGTGACTGCCGCCATGCCGACACTGAGCGATCCCCGTTTGTTACGAAGAGCTGTGTTTAAAGGTTAACGTCTGCAGTTGGTAGCGAGGAGGTGGGTGACTGCCGCCATGCCGACACTGAGCGATCCCCGTTTGTTACGAAGAGCTATGTTTAAAGGTTAACGTCTGCGGTTGGTAGCGAGGAGGTGGGTGACTGCCGCGATGCCGACACTGAGCGATCCCCGTTTGTTACGAAGAGCTATGTTTAAAGGTTAACGTCTGCAGTTGGTAGCGAGGAGGTGGGTGACTGCCGCGATGCAATCACTGGCACTAAGTAAACAATCGTCTGGTGAGATTCCTGTGTCCCTCGGAAACAACAAGCATGGCGGCACAGATCCCGGGGTCAGGTAAACCGTCAGATCGATGCTCTGCAACATCACTTCAGAAGGGACGCCACGGGGCCTACCATTTTACCCTTGTCTCCTGTTGAAACGTTTCAGGCTTCTGTAGCCCAATGTACTGGAGTACTGACACAGCGTACGTGGAGTGTTTTGTCCAGGGATTCGTATAGCCAGGATGTAAGAAACTGACCGGGCAGACGATACATTATATCAACAAGGGCATCTGAAAGAAATAACGTTTTTCAATAATGTAAAAAGAAACGATGGCCCGTTATTTTCGAGGTAATAAACATGAGATACAGACATGATGTTCATTTGGACGCTAAATGTGGGTGAAGTGTAGTTTTGGGGTATAAAAAGATAAAAAATATTGTGTCAAATTTTTTTCATATTGAATACTGTTATATGGCAGTGTGATGTATTTTTGGACAATGTTGTAATTGTTGTAATTGTATTACATCGAACCCGGGTCTTCGGCGTGACGAGTGGACGCTTTAACCACTAGGCTACTTCTCCGCCCCGTCAATATAGGGAACAGCACAGAAGTACGGCTACCGCAGCTACGCCCTACCCGGCAGCTCGGATCGTTGTCCTTGCCCTGAAACACCCGGCCCCACCGTGACCTTGCTGGAATATTGCTGTGGGCGCCGTCACAAAAACCCATTATTTCGTTAATTTGTGCTGGTTCAGGAGAGGAATCTGACCCGGAAAGAAAGAGGAGAAAATGAGATGAGTGAGAAAGGGACGTCAACAAACGTCATTGCTACCACGGATGTCGATACTAATTAAGCATCATTATTGGTTTAAGCGTTTCTCTATTCTGAAACCCACGGCTATTGTCAGTTGTTATACAGAAGCATAAGTGTCTGTTTCTAAACTGAGAAGCCAAATAAGACACCCAAACATGATGAAGTCGAGATGACATCGGGGCTAACTCCCTGCGTCATCGTGTTCTTCGCCTGTACAGCTGGCAGCACAAGGATGCCGCTTTTCCAACTCGCCGACAGCATCCATCTCCGTATAAACGCAGACGGAGCTTCTGTTAAGGTGAGATATAAATACGCCGAATATTTCACACAACTAAGAATTGACTTTCACTTTGTATGTGTTCATTGGACTATTAACCTTCACAGAGTGAGGGCCAAACTGTATTAACGTCGGGGCATACACTGTTTGGCCCTCACTCTATAAAGGCTCATACTCCAATGAACACACGCAAAGCGTCAATTCTTAATATAATGTTTTCACTATCACTATATATCACTATTTAATACCGAAGCGAGGATATTCGTTGACGATCATGCAGTCTAATTTTCCCTCGTTTCTCAATAGCTAAAACACTCAGTTCAAAATTAAAGGACTGGTCTAAAATGATCAGAAATAACGTTTCTGTATGTATTCCTGCTAGAGACTTCCCGAGGTTCCCCTCGGAATGTGGAAGTAGTCCGTCAGTGTTTACGTCATTTCAAGAATAAAGTCCAGTGAAAAACGTATGAACTTCAAATTGTCTCCTTCAGACACATATGAACGTCAATTTCGCGGCCATGTCCAATGGAAAAGCCGTATATCGTGTAAACTTCACATTTAAAAATTATATGGACATGACCCTAACTTTGACGGAGTTTATCGCAACTGTTTCGAAGCTAAGTGTATTCAGTCCCTCTACAGCCTAAGTCTTCCCATGTCGGCACCACACCGTGATTAACGCCGGCCGCACACGACATCACTGCTTCCTACGCGTGTTCAGGGACACCATGAATTACCCACAAGACAAGTGTTCATGTTGAAATACCATTACAGGCGGCCCTCGGCCCTGATGACGTCGTCTGACGCAAACCTCATCATCTATCATCATTAACGATCATAATCCGACAAGTCACAAATCATCCATAGCAAGTGAACTTCTTGAACTTCATGAAATCCCTTCAGTTCGAGAGGGATGGGATGAGGACGGTGGATGGAGGACAAATGGGGGTGAGGGACGTGGAGAGGGGGACGTGGAGGACGGGGAGAGGAGGACGGGGAGAGGAGGACGGGAGAGGAGGACGTGGAGAGGAGGACGTGGAGAGGGGGACGTGGAGGACGGGGAGAGGAGGACGGGGAGAGGAGGACGGGACTTGGAAGACGGGGAGAGGAGGACGGGGTGAGGAGGACGGGGAGAGGAGGACGGGGAGAGGAGGACGGGGTGAGGAGGACGGGGAGAGGAGGACGGGGAGAGGAGGACGGGGTGAGGAGGACGGGGAGAGGAGGACGGGGAGAGGAGGACGGGGAGAGGAGGACGGGGTGAGGAGGACGGGGAGAGGAGGACGGGGTGAGGAGGACGGGGAGAGGAGGACGGGGAGAGGAGGACGGGGTGAGGAGGACGGGGAGAGGAGGACGGGGTGAGGAGGACGGGGAGAGGAGGACGGGGAGAGGGGGACGTGGAGAGGGGGACGTGGAGGACGGGGAGAGGAGGACGGGGTGAGGAGGACGGGGAGAGGAGGACGGGGAGAGGAGGACGGGGTGAGGAGGACGGGGAGAGGAGGGAGAGGAGGACGGGGAGAGGGGGACGTGCAGGACGGGGAGCGGGGGCAGGGAGAGGGGGCGGGAGAGGGGGCGGGGAGAGGAGGACGGGGAGTGTAGGACTGGGAGAGGGGACGTGGAGGACGGGGAGAGGAGGACGGGCAGAAGAGGACGGGGAGAGGAGGACGGGGAGAGGAGGACGGGGAGAGGAGGACGGGGAGTGTAGGACGTGGAGGACGGGAAGAGGAGGACGGGGAGTGTAGGACGTGGAGGACGGGGAGAGATAGACGGGGAGAGGAGGACGGGGAGAGGAGGACGGGGAGTGTAGGACTGGGAGAGGGGACGTGGAGGACGGGGAGAGGAGGACGGGGAGAGGAGGACGGGGAGTGGAGGACAGGGAGAGGAGACGTGGAGGACGGCGAGAGGAGGACGGGGAGAGGAGGACGGGGAGAGGAGGACGGGGAGTGTAGGACGTGGAGGACGGGAAGAGGAGGACGGGGAGTGTAGGACGTGGAGGACGGGGAGAGATAGACGGGGAGAGGAGGACGGGGAGAGGAGGACGGGGAGTGTAGGACTGGTAGAGGGGACGTGGAGGACGGAGAGAGGAGGACGGCGAGAGGAGGACAGGGAGAGGAGACGTGGAGGACGGCGAGAGGAGGACGGGGAGAGGAGACGTGGAGGACGGGGAGAGGAGGACGGGGAGAGGGGACGTGGAGGACGGGGAGAGGAGGACGGGGAGTGAAGGACGGGGAGAGGAGGACGGGGAGTGTAGGACTCGGAGAGGGGAAGTGGAGGACGGAGAGAGGAGGACGGGCAGAAGAGGACGGGGAGAGGAGGACGGGGAGAGGAGGACGGGGAGTGGAGGACGGGGAGTGTAGGACGTGGAGGACGGGAAGAGGAGGACGGGGAGAGCGGACGTGGAGGACGGGGAGAGGAGGACGGGGAGAGGAGGACGGGGAGAGGAGGACGGGGAGTGTAGGACTGGAAGAGGGGACGTGGAGGACGGGGAGAGGAGGACGGGGAGAGGAGGACGGGGAGAGGAGGACGGGGAGAGGAGGACTGGAAGAGGGGACGTGGAGGACGGGGAGAGGGGGGGCGGGGAGAGGAGGACGGGGAGTGTAGGACTGGAAGAGGGGACGTGGAGGACGGGGAGAGGAGGACGGGGAGTGTAGGACTGGAAGAGGGGACGTGGAGGACGGGGAGAGGAGGACGGGGAGAGGGGGGCGGGGAGAGGAGGACGGGCAGAAGAGGACGGGGAGAGGAGGACGGGGAGAGGAGGACGGGGAGAGGAGGACGGGGAGAGGAGGACTGGGAGAGGAGGACGGGGAGAAGAGGACGGGGAGAGGAGGACGGACAGAAGAGGACGGGGAGAGGAGGACGGGGAGAGGAGGACGGGGAGAGGAGGACGGGGAGAAGAGGACGGGGAGAGGAGGACGGACAGAAGAGGACGGGGAGAGGAGGACGGGGAGAGGAGGACGGGGAGTGAAGGACGGGGAGAGGAGGACGGGGAGAGATAGACGGGGAGAGGAGGACGGGGAGAGGAGGACGGGGAGTGTAGGACTGGAAGAGGGGACGTGGAGGACGGGGAGAGGGGGGCGGGGAGAGGAGGACGGGGAGAGGGGGGGCGGGGAGAGGAGGACGGGGAGAGGGGGACAAAGGCTTGTTATTCTCACTCAGGATCTTCTTTTTATATAATCACCCATTTCTGGAAAAAAAAACAACTCGTGGATAGAACTAGCGGCTTTTCCCCATGCAGGAAATAATCAAGTTAAACTTATGGTAGACAGTTTGAAAATGTTTTTTTCCCCGTTATGACTACACAGAGCTCCAATTCCCATCTTCCTTTAAACTTATGATTCGTCGTTAGGGGAAACATCCACGATGACGGGTATGCTGATAACAAACCTGGGAACGTGTTCGGTGTGAAAGTGGCACTGGAACGACATTGATGACGTGAGTGTGGCGTGCTGTACAACCCAGCTCAAACCTTTACTGTTTACAATTATGGTCACAATATCAGTTTTCTTTTGGGTGTCATTGAATCACAATATAGGGATCAACATAACATTTGGTTCCGTGTACTATCTGGGTTTTTTTATTTCCTGTCTGTAACTAAATACCATTGGGACTCAGACTATCTAACCACCGTTTATGCTACCGGCGACAACTGAGGACTCTTCATCCAATCCGCTGTCTGCAATAAAACACTGAGTAAATGCATCTGTCTAATATTCGAAAAAAACATCTTCAGCAACAACTATGTACCATATTTCATAATTGCGTAATTCCCAAGTGGGCCTGACTGCGGTATCCGCACGGAAGGGAAGCTTTATACCGGCCTAGAGAGAAACACCCTGTCTCGAGTCGGCCCCTCCAGTCTAGGCGGAACCGTTGTCGAGATTACCAAAGAGGGCGTCATGCGTGATTGACGTATGGACGCTCCTACGCCCTCTGGTGGCCATCTCAGGGGCGACAACTACAGATGAGAGTCTGAAGCACTTAGTTCGGAGGCATCCGTTTTGCCCACGTGACCTTTGGCGAAGCTGGGCGTCGCGTGATGTCAAATGGAACTCGGGTCTGTCATTTGCCTGTATTTCCGTGACTTGCAGTGAGCGTGTTGGAGTTAAGTCTATAATCACATTTCTCTCGGATTTCAAAGTGACATTCCTCAATCGACATGTGGTATTCGAGCGGCACTGACTCCCGTGTCAATAGAACTCACAGAGCGTGTTCCTAATGCCTTCCATCCACCGGAAAGGCCGGAGACGTCACACACGTTCCTCTCGATGATCATGTGACATAACTTTGCTACAATCATCATGTGTCTACTCGTGACGGCAGAAACAAAACACTTCACATTTGTCCAGGAACTAATCTACATGGATTTCCGGTCTAGAGTGAAAATAGGTCGGAATTCAAGAATGGCATCTTCAAAGATTTGGAAGACATCCAGAGATGATCGAAGATTTTAATAGAAAGGGATTCCTTCTGAATATATCTATATAGAAATAATTTTTTATTGAAGTAGATTGATGGTCGGAGGGGAAATTGTCAATTCGCCTAAATATAACCTTGCAACATCAATAATATGTTTGAAGTTTCCAGGCTGTACTGGTTGTTGATAATCAGTGCGCGTCCGCAGCCATGGTTATAATCCAAAAATTGTGAAATGAAGCCACTTAATTATCTACATTGTCTGTTATGAAAAGATCCTCTTTGCTTACGTTCCGAAATAACGCTTAAGTCTTAAATCAACACCACCTTCTCATTGTAATAGGTTTATGAAATTGTCATTTAGAAATATGGAAAGGTATCCGATCTTCCAAAACAATATTTGATATCAACTAAAATAAAACTTCCTCCTTATTCTAAAAACCGGAAGTATAGAAATAAATTAATAAGCACATTAAATCGGTTTTCAAAATAGGCTGAAAGGTTGAATTAATACTCTCTCAAGTCTCAGCTCGTCACACCAGGAATTAAGATTGAATGCATTTTTTGAAACTAGATCGTGAATTGATAGACAGTTCCACAGTCAGTTAATTTGCATCGGTAGATTTCTTCAATCAGTGACTGCTGCATCAGCTGCTGTGTTGGTCCTGACAATGTGATGTCGAGAGCGCTGGCCAAATTATCTATTCCTTTCCTTTCGTGACCATGCGGTCAGATCGCCAGATAGAACAAGTCCCGATATGCACATCATGTGCTAAGGAATGTCCTCCGAAACATATGGTGATTTATATACATTCCTCAATGAACATTACTGATATAACCTAGCCATAGGCTCTGTGAATCTCGTTGGTTATTCTATAATTATTTGATACAAGGTATTACAGATCTACTCTTCCGTTGTGTACTTAGTAGGTTACTGAGAATACAATATGTGAAATGCTGGAATGGTGACATGGTTTTCAGTGATCCATTCATATAATGTTCGCCGATGTTTTTCTTTTGACGCCGAATGGAATCTGTTTCGTCGGGTAAGCGAGACGGTGTTTATTTACCTACATATAACATCTATGTGATATTTGAGGACAGGACATTTAGGCAAGAAGTAGGCATCCCCATGGGCACCGCTTGCGCTTCCATCCTTGTTGATTGGTTGTGTCTTTATGCCACAGATCCAATTCCCAGCGATTGACCCACCTGAACTAAAAATAAGGGAGACCAGTGTCACAGCCTCATCTGCTTCATATTAAAATCTAGGCATAAAGATTCGGGGTGACAAAAGAATATCGGCAAGATGGTATGACAAAGGGGATGACTTCAATTTTCCAAGTGTCACATTTCCTTTTATGTCAAGATGTATTCCAGCAGCGCTGGCCTTTGGTTTCTCGATGTGAGGTACAATCGAGCATGCGTTTTCTCCGAAGATTTAAAAGAGCGACATATTGGTAGTAATATGACAGACACATACTCATGATACAGTCAGAATCGTACACCGGACTCTGCATTTAGCAGAGATTTCTTAGGAATATGGAAGGGTCATGTCACTACTATTTCTTAGTATATTTATTGCCCGCTGGTCATTTCAAGAAAAGGTCTAAGACGTGTTAATTTGCAACGTCATGAACAATAGATTAGGTCACATTTTATTGTTTGTTTCAATAATGCTTCAGTATGACATATGACTTCGACTCAGAAGACGAATCAGGTTAGAAAAGTACCAATGTGTAAATCACACACGACGTTTCAACCTTAATAGATAATATGTGTACTATCTGCAACATCTTCAAGATTGTGATATATTGTGGAACTACATTTCAAAAGTAGTTGGGTGTCTTTAAGATTTTTTTGATTGTTTGGAAATTAGATTCTACAATTTCGTCAAATTTGAAAAGAAATTCCTTATTTCTTGTTTTGTTGTAAGGACACAAAATTCGCAATACACATTATATTTTTTTGGCCTACTTTAATTCCACTCCTGATTGTCACACCCACCTGGGAGACACTACTCTTTGCAGCCACGCCCACCTGCGAGACACATCTCTCGGCAGCCACGCCCACCTGGGAGACACTACTCTTGGCAGCCACGCCCACCTGCGAGACACTACTCTTAGCAGCCACGCCCACCTGGGAGACACTACTCTTGGCAGCCACGCCCACATGCGAGACACACCTCTTGGCAGCCACGCCCACCTGCGTGACACTACTTGTGGCAGCCACGCCCACCTGCGAGACACTTCTCTTGGCAGCAACGCCCACCTGGGAGACACTACTCTTGGCAGCCACGCCCACCTGGGAGACACACCTCTTGGCAGCCACGCCCACCTGCGAGACACTACTTGTGGCAGCCACGCCCACCTGGGAGACACTACTCTTGGCAGCCACGCCCACCTGGGAGACACTACTCTTGGCAGCCACGCCCACCTGCGAGACACTACTTGTGGCAGCCACGCCCACATGCAAGACACAACTCTTGGCAACCCGTGAGCAACAACTATTGATTGTGTCTGTGACTTGTGTTACGATCTTCCTATCAACTCCAGCATCACCTGTGTACTTGTCAACAAACTGATAACAGTTCATATTTCTTTGCTTCAAAAAGTAATTGGCCGCCCCAGACTCGAGCCTGGCGGAGTACGGTATTCTGTTGAAGTCCATGATACGTCCTTTGTGGTTTTCTCATCCCCCATGTCTGATTACTGAATACGAGAATGTGACGATTCAACAGTCGTCTGATATCCGCCGGCAACACAAGACTTTTAATGAAACCCACATTCAGGCTGTGTCCTCAACGCAGCCTTCAATAGAGCAATAGTAAGTAAACGTGCCAGTCAGAACTCCACAGAACCTTCTTTCAGTATGAATATGTCATACTTGATTAATGCATCATCCTTGAGTAGATCTGATGGCTGGTATCAGTACGGGGCATCTTAGCTCTGAGTCTCAGTTGCTGTAGAACAGAATGTATATTCGGCAAGACGGGAAATGGACGGAACCCGGGTGAAAGATTGGAGACTTATCAGATGGCGACATCTGTATTTACCCAACCTTTAGGTGTATCTATAGTTGAGCACTGATGCCAAGTGGAACACAAGCTTACCTATGTCTGTATCAGTTTGTTCATCGTGCTGGACCTCAGGCGATGTCGGAGTCACTGTCAGGTTTTACAATGTGGATTGAACTCAGTTCCAACTAGTCGCTGGCTAGATTATACACATATAGTCAGCTTTATGATAAGGAAGTACTATATGGCATGCAAAGTGTATCAAATTGTGATGGATGCTGATGGTTCCTGATTTTGTCTCTAGTCGTGGGTAGCCAGCAGTATGTTTCCCTATTTGTCTTTTCATTTTTTATTTTGAAGAAAGTATGAACACTATTTTGTACATTGCTGCAATGATAGTTGAATTACGGACACTTATGTGTTATATTTACAAATGCCAAAACAATTTAAGTTAATTCCCAAGACTCGTTTCCCAATTAACTTCTAAGTAAATTGCATGCCGAAACTGAAATGGACAATACTTAGAAACCCAAGTAATTGGCAAGTAAGGGAAGTTAGTGTAGATTGATACATCAATTCTGAAATCGTTGCAAAACTAACTAGCACTGGTATGGCCATATCGACGATATAATGACGTAATATGACATAATACTGGTTATTTACTGAAACGTTTTTGTTAGTTTCAAATATCAAAATGTAGCTATCGGTGCTTTAATTCCCGACAGGCAATATTGACGAGAACCAGGAATACGCCCGGCGACTGCCAGATCAGGTACAGTTGCCTACAAACACGTTTCTGTCAGATACACACGACTGATGGCGACTTGATGCTGTACATCGATGCTTTCTTGTGCGAGCTTTCACACAACCCTTACGCTGATGGTCGGTCAGAATTAAAACTCTTTAAGCTGTTCTGTCTGTAGTGGTACAATAGTACAATATAAACATTGCCTTGAGTGGTTGTCTATCCCCGCTAGTTTAGTTTGGAGATGGCTGTTTCCTTTAAGTGGGAATGTTTCATGTTTTCCCTGATGCAAGGTTATACCAGTTTTAAGAAATCAGTGGTTCCTGCAGCCGGAATTTACCGACTGATTGCTTGGCCTGAAATAATCTATTTTTTGGAAGTTTTTTTTCTGTTCCTTTTCCCCTGTGTGTTTTATCAGTGCCCGCGGAGATCAGACAATTTAACCACCAGTTACGATACTCGCGGCCATGGAGAACATTTCATTAAATCCACTATCGACCTCTTTACCTCACTCAGTTTTCTATAAAGCACTGATGAGTAAATGCACTGATCCAATATTCCACAAAAACATCTTCAGCAATAACTACATGCGGTATTTGATGAACGCGTCAGCCCCGAGTGTGTTTGATCGCCAGTATCCGCACGGAGGACCTTCCACAACCAACTATTCTGTACTCGTCCCAAGACAAGAGTTGCCTCCTCTTGTCCATAGGAATGCTGGCCTCGTTCTGAAAACTACCCTGAAAGGCGGTTGTTATATTGACGTGACACGTAGCCCCGTGCGTCATTTACGTGCACCGGAAGTAAAAGCAACCTGAATGTGAGACTAGATCACTTTGGTGTCGGACGAAGGCGTCTGAACAGTAGGACTCCGAGGAAGGCAAAAATGTAAAATTTGAACATATGTTTCATCTTTACTTCCCTTTGCTATCTGCTAGGTAAGGAAGTCAGCCATCAAGGAATGTAAGTCTTGCATGAGTTGCTTTTCTTTGATTCACTTGTCTAACATCTAGCACTGGCAAATGTTCACATTTTATATCCAATTTTGCTATAAATTCAATAAATCAGCAGTTCCTGCAGACGGAATATACCCTCTGGTGATTGCTTGGCCAGAAAAAAATCTATATTTTGTTAGTTTTTTTCTGTCAATATTCCGCTGCATGTTTTATGAGTGCTCGCATTTTTCAGACAATTTAACCACCGGCTATGCTTCCGCTGGCCTCGGAGAACTTTTCATTACATGCAAAGAATAATACCCAGGGTTTGTAAATGACAGCTTGCATTTGCGAAGATGCCCCAAGTTTCCTGTTGTGTATTGTAACTATACTGAACAACAAAAGTTCCTGTGACATTGAATAAGATTTAATGCAAAGTTTTTTACCAACTCTAAACAATTTTGGTTTGCAACAGATAAAAGACTCCTGTAAGTGTTCAAATGGCTTAATTTGCCATACTGACTTCAGAAAATGCGTGATTTCATAAAAAAAACCATGAACATGCCAAAATGTCAATTTACAAATCAATAGCGTGTGTGTCCACCTCTGGTTGCGATGCAAGCAACACATCTTCGTCTCATGGAACGGATATCCTGTGGGATATCTGTCCATATCTACCACTATCAAATGGGTCCTCTGTCTTGCTGTAATCCCACCCCATACCATAACGCTGCCGCCCCTGAACCGATTTTCTTCCATGACACAATGATTGACGTAACGTTCACCTCGACGTCGGTACACTCGAATCCATCCATCGCTGTGGCTGAGGTGAAAACGAGACTCGTCAGTGAATAGAACTTAACCCCACTGCACCACTGTAGACGTGCTTGACGGTGGTTTCCTGTCAAAATGGGAGGTCTGGCGGGGTCTTCTGGCGACAATCCCTGCACATCTGAGGCGGCGACGTACGGTTTGTGAAGATATTCGTCGAAGGCCAGGGATGCTTCTTGCAGTCACTTTTGCTGTCTGGAATCGATTTCGTAGGTGTGTTGTTCGAATCCAGTTGTCTTGTCGATTATTGGTTACGCGTGGCCTGCCACTCCGAGGATGGTCTCTGACTACATTCGTCTGTTGCCAACGTTGCCATAAACACCAAATGGTGCCTTGCAACACCACGTTGACTCGATCCTGCTTCAAGCATACCAATGGCTCGCAGACGCTAATTTTCGGACAGGCGTGGCATTTCGTAATGTTGAATAATTGTGTAATTTTGTTGTTTTTCTGAGTGGTTGTTGTCAGCACGATGCTAAACAATACATGTGGAATCCCGTTAACGCATATGTGTTTTTACCCCTTCTAGGGTAGTGAAATGCCTGGGGCTTGCATTATAGTCAACTTTTGCATGGAATGCATGCTTTTTGTAGCAGTTGCGTTTTTGTGACTTGATTCCATACATGTACTACAATATTGAAAACCAAACTTTACTTGTTTGAAAAATACACTAAAATATTGGTGTCACAGGAACTTTTGTTGTTGAGTATATTTAATACAGCATTCACGAAGGACTGACAACTAAGGAATAAAACGTATCCATGGACAGTAGTATCTTTAAGCCCTCAGAAAAGACATTGCAATTAGCGCAAATAAATCTCAAAGGTGATAATAAAATAGAGATACACATTGACACTTAGCTCTGGTTGACATTTTGAAATGTATTTTTCAGTTTCTTCAAGGTTTTGGTTGCCAATATCTATTTCTACGTTATTAACGCAGAGCATCTTGGGATTTGTGTCTGGGGGCTGAGCATCTTGGGATTTGTGTCTGGGGGCAGAGCATCTTGGGATTTGTGTCTGGGGGCAGAGCATCTTGGGATTTGTGTCTGGGGGCCATATTTAACATGAGTGTGACGCCAGTTAAAGGCGCAGTTCACTCACACTTGTACAACACCATGTCATGTACCTTTCAGCCGTATCTCCTTCCTCATTCAATATTTTGATTTGTACCCTAATATGTTCCATGTACATTCAGGTGAACACCTCTGCATCTGCGTGACGATTGATACCTGTGGGGCGGGACACGCCTACCGAACACATGGTATCATAACCATTTGATAATGCTTCAAAAACCTATGCTGACGATGCAATCGGAATCGTAGACATGGACTAAGCATTTATCAGGATGGATGGATGGATGGATGGATGGATAGAGAAATATTATTATATATTATAAGATGTTTTGAAAGTTATATAGATACTTAGACAATTATGTAATAGTTAAAGGCCACGTTGCTTCATCAATGCCATCGTTATCTGGACTTAACTAAGTATAGTTCCGTATGCTTCCCCTGCAGGCATTCTATGTACACAGTGTCTGCTTATCAACAACAAAAGAAGACATGAAACTTGGTACTTATATATGAATCGTAGTCATCAGGGCCACACAAGTCGGGCATTGCTCAGTCGCTAACGTTGCTTGTAAGTAGAGACAGCATTGTGAGCCAATGAAAACAACATCCAAAACAATTGCGTGATGTCAAATGGAACTCGGGTCTCTCATTTGCCTGTATTACCGTGACTTGCAGTGAGCGTGTTGGAGTTAAGTCTATAATTACATTTCTTCTTCTCTCGGATTTCAAAGTGACATTCCTCAATCGACATGTGGTATCCCAGCGGCACTGACTCCCGTGTCAATAGAACTCACAGAGCGTGTTCCTAATGCCTTCCATCCACCGGAAAACCCGGAGACGTCATACACGTTCGTTTGAGAGATATATTGCTGGGTCCAGCAAATGTACCACTAAACCTCTCTCGCAACGATTGACCATAATCCTTCAATCTATGAAGGAAGGACTTTGTCTATATTCACAGAAAGCATCCAGGACAAGTGGAGTGAATACCATGATGATTCTCCACGACTCCAAGGACATACTTGCAATCTTTCAAAAGATCTAAGTTCAGTTCTGTAAAAGTATTTG